AAGTCGAGTGCTGCGCCGACGTCGACGTACTCGGACTCGTGGGGCGACATCCAAGACCACGCGCCCTGCTGCTCGAGCGTCAAGTTTGCCCACTACGAGTCGGTGAAGCGTGCGTGGACGGACCCGTCGACGCAGTCGGAGTTTTGCAACACGGCGCTCAAGGTCGGTACATCGGGTGGCAAGACCGTCGACAACATGATCCTGGTGACCTTCTCGATGGGCAACCTCGTCGCGTCCGGTGCGGTGGCGTCTGGCGTCTGTAACTTTGGCTCGGGTGTCACGTGGGTCTCGATCGCGGGTCCGATGCAGGGCAGCAAGGCGGCCAACCTCCTTGAAGAAAAGTGCGCATCGGGCGGCTGGGGCGCGGCTCTTCAAGGCATTCTCGGTCTCATTGGCTACTGCCCCGCGACGCCCGCGTACCTCAACATGAAGACGCAAGACTCGGTCAACAGCGCCCTTTACAACAGCTTCCTCGCGGCCCAAAGCGCGCGCAACAAGGGGTGCACAAGGTCATGTGCGCCGTCAAGTCGTCGGGTCTCGTCTCGACGGACGCCGTCGCGCTCTCGCTCGTGGGCCGAATGGCCTGGAACAACGACGGTACGCTTCACGACGGTGTCGTCTCCTTCCCAAGCTGCAGCGTCGGGTTTGGCAACTTTGCAACCGATGCTGAGGCCGGTGCCAACTACAAGGCGAGCGTCAACCACCTCGACTCGAGCTTCCGCAACGGCGACGGCTGGTGGGGCGCCGACCGCAAGCCCGTCAAGTGGTTCGAGTGCGCTTTGTAATTGTTCGCGTAGCGTCTATTGCACAACTTTTTACAGTGAATGCAACTGTGTATTGTCTTTTCGACTTGAATGTTCAATTGTAGCTCATCCTTTGGACAATGTTTGAGCCTATGTCCGAGCCAACGACACAAACTAAAGGAATTATAATGAGATTTATAAGTTATGATGCCAACGAGAACACAGGACATATGTATGCCCTTCCTAGAACGAAGACATACCCGCTACAGCGAATAGACCAACAGCTCACCGACATCACCCGCACTCGTAGAGCCCGAAGCCGTGTAGAAAATATAGAAACTTGTCGAAAAGTAGTAGTATAAAGTATTCCAAGTCTCGATCCAACAACAACTACCTGTACTTGACTGCTGTACCTGGCGCCGACATGTCGCCGCTTCCGATTGGCGCCAGCCGTTTCAACAGATATGATTGCACGCACTTGGCAAACATGTTTTACGGTTCTAAAACGCTCGGTTGCACTCGCCTACAAAGCGCACTCGAACCACTTGACGGGCTTGCGGTCGGCGCCCCACCAGCCGTCGCCGTTGCGAAACGATGCATCAAAGTGGTTGATACTCGCCTTGTAGTTGGTACCGGCCATCGCGTCCGTCGCAAACTTACTAAAGCCGAAGCTGCAACTGTCCAAGTCGACTACGCCATCGTGAAGCGTGCCATCCGAAAACGCTTGCGAGCCAACGTAAACAAGCGCTGGCGCATCGGCCGATCCAAGGCCCGATGCATTGATGCCGCAGAGGACCTTGTTGGCACGGTGGCGGACGCTTTGTGCGGCTTGAAAGGCGTTGTAGAGGTCTGTGCTCACGGTGGTTTGGTCCTTCAGCTGCAAATACGCCTCCGTGGCGGGACAGTACCCCACGACGGCGAGCGACGGGCTCCAGTCGCCAGCGGCACACTTTTGCTCCAGCACGTTGGAGGCATTACTGCCTTGCATCGGACCCGCCAGCGAGACCCACGTAACGCCGCTACCAAACGTACACGTCCTGTTGGCGACGGCGCCGCCAGCGACAAGATTGCCCATCGAGTAGGTGACAAGGATGAGGTTGTCGATCGATGACGTCGACGACCCGCTGACGTGGCGCGCTGTGGTACAGAATTCGACTTGAACGTCACGGCGCGTCCACCCCCGCGCGCGGGACTCGTAGTGGGCAAACGCGACACTCGAACAGCATGGCGCGTGGTCCTGGATACTGCCCCACGTTTCGGGAAAGGTCCGCGTTGGCAGCGACGACTCGTTGTTGCCAACGCCGTGCACAAAAAGACAAGGCTTGCGACGGCCCTTGCAGCGACACGTCGTGGGGCCAAGTAACGCGGCATGCGTCGACAGTGTCGTCGTCGGAGAGCGTAGGAGATTGGGAAAGACAGCATTTGTGATCACTGGACATGACAGCGCCGACTGCCCCGGAACGCGAGGAATCGTAAAATCCGGCAGCATCGTCGGGTCGGCAAGGTACTCGATCGTCATGTCGATGTCCGCGCCAACAGCTTTCGTGAGCTGGTTGGTGTTGGAGTTGCAAAAGACAAACTTCTCGCCGGCAAACTGGAGCTGGAGCAGCTTGCCCG